CAAAGTGTTACTTCCCTGTTGAAATGATTAGGTAACTAACATAATTTAGAAACTTGATTCCAAACATTATATCAATTTTTTTTACAAATTTGGACCTCACAGCACAAATTAAATATTTGTATGCACATTTTCTTTCACGTCTTATTACATTATAAAGTGATCGTCTTATTACATTATAAAGTGATCGTTGTAGGAACTCTATCTTGTACCGGGTCGGCCCATAAAATTTGTAGGGTAGGAATTATAGTAATTGACAAACAATTTATATAAAATTTACAAAAAAAAGGAAAAAATGGGAAAAAGCCCCCAACATTTCATTGGATGATCCGGGCTATTTTGTTCAAGCCCAATAAACTTACCAATCAGCCCACTCTGCACTCTCCTCTCTCTAGATATCTCTAGGGTTAGTACTAATAAGAAGATAAGAAATGAGTGGGAGAGGAGGAAAAAAGAACCACACATGACACACAACACCAAGAACACACCTTCTATACACACTCCAAATGGACTTCTATCAGTTTCGTTTCATATCTCTCTATTAACCCTTTTCTCTCTCTAACTGCAGTACACCGCCTTAATCCTCTTTCAACACCCTTCATGAATTGGATTTTTCTTATCCATTTTGGATTCTTCTTATTACATAGAGGTTTGAGGATGCGTCAAATTACTTAAAGATCTGATTTTTATATGTAAGGATGCTTCTACTTGCATAATTTTTTTAACTTTTATTTGAAGGGATGCTCCGTCTCATAGAAAGATCTGATTTTTATGTGATAGGATGTATCACTTTTGTTAAGGAGTTGATTTAATTGTAAATTTCTTCTAACTCTGTCATGAATTGGAGATTGATATTTTTTTTTGGGGGTGAATTGATGCTTCAAATTATTGGGTTTTATTTGATTTTATATGATATGATGGTTCGAATTACATCAAATTTTATTTTTTGTGTGAAGGGGATGCTTCATATTAACTCACGATTTGATTTTTATGGGAAACAGGCTTCAGATTATATAAAGATTTGATTTTTATATGTAAATATTCGATAATTATATGTTAAGATTTGATTTTTATGTAGAAGGACGCATCAAATTATATAAAGGTTTGATTTTTATGTGAAATATGCCCCAAATTATGTAAAGATTTGATTTTTATGTGAAATGATTAATTAGTTTTTGATTTTAGAGTCCCTTCTCTATAATTCTTAGGTTATTGTTCAAAATATTTATTTTTGTTTGCTGGTTCTTAAGATTTTGTTCTTTTAATAGGACTTCAGATGTTATTATTAATTTGTTAAATTTTATTATATTTTTCGGTAAAGTCTAGTTCTGGATCTGTACTGCTTAAGACTTGCCACTTACCACTGACACATGTATGTTTTCGGCATCAGGAGAAAGGATTCTTCAAACTAAGTTACGATGTTAAGATTGATCTTCTGTGAAAGGTTAGTTTAATTATTACATTTTTACTTGTAAATTATTTTTATCTATGGGAAGAGTGCTTCTTTTATGTGATATTTGTTCTTAGGCCACCTTTGGTTTGGGAGATTAGCCACTTGTTAACTAAATAATATGACTTTATTTGATGTTTGGTATCCCAAATAACTTGCCGCAAATAATATGTTATCATGGCTTATCCTGCCGCAAATTATAAGTTTACAGTGCATGTAAACTTATAATTTACATCTTTTGAATATCAGAAGCCAAATATTATTGCTCCAACAAGAAAATGAAAAGGTTGTGAAGATGTAGAATTTTAAGTTTGGTTTCTTAAATTTGAGAAACCAAAGTTGAAATTTAACAAATTATGTAAAATTTAAAAACAATAAAATAATCAAACTTTGCTCCTTTTAACCACCATATCTCAAAAACAATAAAACCATAAAACTTTACTTCAGTTCTATTTTAATACCATTTTTTTTGGATATTTCTATGTTTCAATCCGTAGTAATTAAGAATAAAGATATGCAATATATTAGCCTTTGAAATATAGTAGTCATATTTAAGAAATATTGAAATATTTATTTATCAATCAATTTTTCAAATGGTCAGCTGTTGAAACTATTCTAAACTAAAATGTTGGCAAAATATTAAAATATAATAGTTGTGTAAAATATAAAAATAATATTGTTGGATGTTAAAAGTGGTTATGCATAACACTGAACTGCTATATATTATAGATATAGACAACCAATTTTAAACAAGCTGTTGGAGATTGCCTAATATGAGAAATGAGCAGTGTTTTAAAACACCACTTTTGATATTCACTCTAACAACATTGTTTATATTTTACATAACCATTATATTTATTGTTTTAATATTTTTTTTACAATTATATTCCCACAAACATATTATAATAGATCTAGTGTAAAAAAAACATTTCTTAAATTTATTATCATTTTCAGCAAAAAAATGATATTATTTGACTAAGTTACTTAATATAATAAGTTTAAAATTGTAGTTATAATTAGTAATAAAAGTTAAACTTATTAATATAATTATCTTTAAAACATAATTAATATCACATAATTATTTTTTATTAGTAAACTTCCATAAAATACAACATGGTAATATTTTAATAATTTCTTGGTTGTCTAAATTCTAACTTTGATTTGTCAACTTTGGCAAACCAAACTCATGCTTTAAACAATATGTAAAATTTACATTTTGTTGTTGGAGCATAGAATTTTGGAGTTGGTTGTTTAAATTGTGTATAATTTAGATTTAAGAAACCCTCTTGAAGATGCTCTAAGTATGAAGCTGATCATTTTGCTCTACTTGCCAAGGCCCTCGGTCCGAGAACAAGTATTCTCTAATTTACCATTTCTTTGATTTTTTTAAAAAAATCTTTTTTTCCCGAGTGTTGGGGTTTATTAGTTTAACATGCTCCAACCGAAGAAAGAAGGTAGAAGAAGATAATAAGAAAAGAAAAGTAAAACGGTGTTTAAGTAATCTCACATAAGTAATCTCACATAGCATCGAACAAGTTTAAGAAATAGGTCTAAGACATCTAAACAAAAAGTAAAATTGTGCCTGAGTAATCTCACATAGCATCAAACAAGATTAAGAAATAACATTAAACAAGTTTAAGAAATAATCAAACAATGACATCCGAAAACTTATTATGAATCTCTGATTTCAAAAAGTAACACAAGTCAATTCAGGTCTACCTCTTATTCTTGTTGTTCGCTGCCTTCTTAGTGGCCCTTTTCATGAATGAATACATACAAAACGATTATCACAAGATCAAGGTGACTCTTCCACACGTTTGCAACGAGTGCAACACAATTTTTTGCAGACGTGAAGGTCTTTGCTGAACACCGTCCTTGCAACATCTCAAAGGGGTTGCAAGGGCGGTGTTTAGCAAAGACCTTCACGTCTGTAAAAAATTGTGTTTCACTCGTAGCAAACATGTGGAAGAGTCATCTTGAGCTTGTGGTAATCGCTTTGAATGTATTCATTCATGAAAAGGGCCAACGAGAAGCCGGTGAACAATAAGAAGAAGAGGTAAACTTGAATTGACCTGTGTTGCTTTTTGGAATCAGAGATTCATAATAAGTTTTCGGATGTTATTGTTTGTCTATCTCTAAAACTTGTTAGATGCTATTTCTTAAATTTGTTAGATACTATGTGAGATTACTCAGGTACCGTTGTACTTTTTGTTTCGATGCTATGTGAAAGTAAATACATAGACACTGTTTTACTTTTTGTCTAGATGCTTGTTATTTTCTTCCATTGTAGCATGTTAAACTAATAAACCCAACACTCGGTCAAAGAAATAGTAAATTAGAGAGAATACGTGTTCTCCGAACGGGAGCCTATTCTATGCCGCGTGCGTGTCAGGGCATTTACGGAAGAAAAAGAGAACTTACTTTCGTGCCTTCTTTTTCACCCTGTAAACAATGGCAAGTAGAGCAAAATGATCAGTTTCATACTTATTAAACCAAATACAAGTCCCACTATTTCATTATTTAACAGTCAATAGAAAATGAGAAGTTGTATGTGTTTGATTGGAGAAAGTAAAACAGATGATGTGTTTAAAAGATGAGGAAACCACTAAAATACCTTCTTAGTTTTGCAGCTTGAATTAATTTGCCCTGTTTAGATTTTAAAATGCTATTTCTTTCTTACATAATACCCGTATTTTAATATTATTATTTTTTTTGTTTGGGCCACTTTTCATGTGGAAAAAAGGGCGACGTTTGGGCCGACAATTTTGTGGCCCAGTCCCTCTTTCTCTTTCTTCTTTTATTTTCCCGGCCTCTTTTCTTCCACCAGAAATCGCTAGTTGACATTCTTCCGGCCGTTTTTCTCCCTGGAGCCATGTTTTCCGGCGCCGACAGCCTCGTTGGTTTTTCCACCGATTCCCAATTTTTTTTCCATCTTCTGCAGTTCCTTTGGGTTAGACTCTGTTCCTCGTCCGATTTAATATATTTCGATTTTGTGCGTTCCATATTTCTCTCTGGGATTGGGTCGGTAATAAGGGCAAATCGGTTTGGGTATATATACATTTCGTTTGCTATAATATTTCTGTAAAATTAATTGTCCAAATTGAGAGTTTTTTAGGTTGAAATACAGTGCCATCTTCGACATCCTAGCATTTTACAACTCTATGGTTACTTTTATGATCAGGTATCACACTTTTATTTATTTATTTATTTATGTTTATATTTGTAATTCTTAACTTCTATCTTAGTTAGAATCTGCAGAAAATGTTGGCTAAATTCAAAGTGTTTAACTCAATGAAATTTTATCAGTTTCTACAACTTTCCCGTTGAAATGATTAGTTAACTAACATATTTTAGAAACTTTTCTGAAAAGATTTATGGTCTTTTTTTTGTGATTATGGGGGACATAGAACAGTACGTTGCATCATTAGCTCGACCACTAATAGACTGTAGTGGAAACCCCCATAATAGCAACCTGAAAATCGTGCCCCTTTTTATTATCACAGTATGATTACAGACCGCCTCGAGCTTCCCGTTGTAACTTCATGCTCGCGAATGTTCTTTCATGTTCCCAAGGGTAGTCGTTGCTATCTCATTTTGTTTGATGTTAATATAAGAAAATAACAACTTATCCGAGGGCTTAGGAATAGCTAAGTTATGTGCAACTTTTACATAGTTTTGATTGAAATAAGATTGTAAAAAATATATTTCAAGGTAGTAGTAATTATTATTCGAGATTTGAGATTCCTTTCCGTGAGGATGATGAACTTGGAAGTCTGCCACTAAATTTTCGGAAAAAAAAAAAGTTATTGCTTTCTTCTATGTACGGAAAAGGAGTTTTCAAATCTCCTCAATAGAATGTGTAGTGTTCTATATTAGCATTGAATTTTTCTTTCTCCACGCTTCAATGGAGCAAACTTTTTCTAATGAGAGATTCATCTAATTTTTTTCGGGTAATATTTCCTTGATTTTATATGGAAAGAGCTTCCATGATTGACAATGATGGTAGCAACTAATTAGGGAGCATTGACTATTACAGGCGTAAATTTCGATCCTGATAATTTTTTTTCTATCTAGAAACTTAAATCCTTAGCTCTGGAGCCCCATCGAGGAAGAGGAAGAAGACGCGCGGCAGATGCTGGGTAGCGACGGGCGGCCGAGGCTGGGAATGACGGCTTAAACCACCGGCGAGCGGTTGATGATGAAAAAATTGTGAAGGAGGCAGGTAATTGATTTGTTTGCTTGTTTTAAACTTGTTCTTATTCTGAGATTGTGTTTAATTCTTATAATTGTTGCTTTGATATACAATGTCATTTTGATTGACAGGAAGAAGTGCAGGTAAGTTGTTTTTGATATATTTTATTTTTCCAGTTTTGGGGGGGTTTTTTTTTGTGGATGCATATTTTTCACAGTGAAGTGGTGGATTTGCAGAAAATATTTTAGCAAAATATCTTACAAACAGCGGCGCATGTGAGAGGGCCTCTTTTTTTCTCCACGTGATAAACGTTTTCTTGTTCACTCGGTTAGGTACATTGAATCAAAAGTGACTAATAAATACGGTTTGCAGCTTTGTTGTTCCTATTGTTTTGTATTGATATGTTATTTTGAGTGCTGCTGCTACGACGTTTAGGTAGCATCTGATCTGGCATATTGATATGTAATTTTTTTTTATTTGTTCTTGCTGCCGAATTTTCTAGATATGCTGTTGCGTATGAGAAATCAGTTCAAAGTTCGCCCCCGTACAAGTGGAGTTCTTTTTGTGAAAATCATTGCAGTAGAAGTTCAATAGGCCTATATATCCTCGTCTTTGCACTCGCTTGAAGCAGGTCCGAGATAAACGTATTTAACTATTTGCCGTACAAATTAATCAAAACCCTGAACACTTGCATCTCATATTTCCTTTTGCTTGTAGGGCCTTTTTTGGGTTCGATTCCTCCCGTTTTTTGTCAAACTTGGAGGATATACTGTTATCTGAATTCCTTGCATACTCCAAAGCTGATGCTGCATGCTTCTTTAACATTAGAACATGCACAATAGGTAATACGTTGCCTTCAATCTCACTAATGAAATGTATCTTCTGTGCCAATACTTTAGGCATGCAGAGTTTATACGAAGTGATGTACTTGTAGTTATTTCCTTATTACTTTTGTCCCGGTTTATGTTTTCAGTTAATTCCAAATTTAAATTGGTGATGTGAGGTTACTCGCGCTTACAAAGGGAATATATTTACGAAGTCTACAAATCTTGAATGGCTCACTCGTGAACAGTTTGTATGAGATCTTATAATAATAACTACCTTAAAAGAAATATGTGTCCGAATTCCTATGCATTTCTTACTATTAAAGTCCGTCACCTTTTATTTTTTGAAACCCTGATCGGAAATAAACTCTGGAGAATTTTGCTGTTAGTATGTAGTGAGATTATCCAAAATCTGTCGACATAATGATTAAACATATTTTATACTGTTTTCTGATGCTCCCATACAATGTAAAGATATGTGTGAATGGCGGTGACTTGGTAGATTTTGTTGTAATAGATCTTTAGATTTTTATAGAAGTAGCTTCCATTTTTTTTTTCCATTTTGTTTTTATTTTCAGATTGTTTTCTGGTGGATTTCTTTGTGTATCTATGGTTGGATTTTCAATTAATTTGAATTGCTCCATTTAATTGCTAAATCTTATTTATAGTGAATTTATTTTGTTCACTGTGTCTTCCTTGCATAAAAGTGGGGTCTAAGGTGGGAAGAAGAACGCCGTAATTTTGATATCGAAATCTTTATTTAGCCTTGCACTCATTATGTGCTCGCATTGTTCATTATTGATTCAGCAGGTAGAACTGTGTTCCTTCAATTTCATAGTTATAGAAAAGCAATTTTGTTTAGAGAATTGATAAGAAAATTCATTTATTTCGGGTTGAAGCAATTGTATTCTCCATAGATTTATTTGTGTGGGTCATTTTCGGCGTTATTCTGCTTTTCGCCGATTTCTGTAATTAATGTGCAATGATTGTTGCGATTACATGATTCAATTTGCGGTTCGGTAATGAACCGATAGTTGGGGCATATAAATTTATTTTAGCATGGAATTAGCATCTATAGAAGAAAAAAAAATATTGGAACACAATTTTGAGTCTTTATTTAAAACGAGTTTTGGATTTCTTTTGGGTGGAATTGTGTTTCTATTTTTTCATTATTACTAGAAACGTCCCCAAAATATTTAAATATTTACGGGATTTCACAGTGTGTTTTTTCAATCAGCCAACTTCCCCAAATTGTTTTATTTTCGGAATTCGAAATACAATTTGCCCGAGAATATTTGATACAGTAGAAATAGGCATTCTTAAACATGGAGAAAATAACTGGAAAAGTGAAGTTTACCGAAGCAAAAATCGAGAATTTAAGATATCCATCGGTCCCCCTGTTTTGCGTGATGGATGTTTATACTTTTTGGATATAAGTGGAAATGTGGAATTTTGATATCGACGAAAGTCAATGGGTCGTCCACTCTAAGTGTTTCAAGCAATTTCGGCTTTCTAAGGAAATTAAAGAGCATTATTTGATCAGACCTAAGGGCGATAGCACCATTTTTGCTGGATTTGTTGTTGATGATGAAAGCAAGGTTAGAGTGTTTAAACTCACGCCGTGAGTTTTATGGAAATTGGTTGAAGATTTAGGAAATTACGTGAGCAACACTTCATCTTTTGGGTATATTACTGATGATAAAAGTTTGAGAAACAAAATTTTCTTCACCAAATATTACGTAGATAAGATTGTCTATATTACTTGTTGGATATGCGAAAGTATCACTCTTTTGAAGGCGACTACGCCAACAATAATGCTTACGACTTTACGGTACTTGATTTTGCAACTTGGACGATGCCAACCCAAATTGACCCACGCCGTATAAGCGATTTTACTTGGTACCCACAAGTACAAGTGGATGAAATTGCTACTTAATTTCACTTGCGAGAATTTTATGTATTGATGTTATGTAACGTCGATTTTATGTTTTATGATCACTAGCTTTTCTTGTACATGATCTTATCATTATCATTTACAGTTAAACCTCTATAAATTAATACAGTTGGAATAACAAAATTCTATTAGTTCAACAAAATATTAATTTATTGAATTAATAATTTCATTCCGAAATTTTATTAATTCATCAAAATATTAATTTATCAAATTAATGATTTAATAATTTTTTATTGAGCTAGGACGTCGAAGAAATTATTATTTAAGGGCAATACATTACCAATTCAATTCACCTTAATATACATACATATTGTATTCATTTATAAATGGACCTCTCATACGCGGACACGTAACCACCTCCCCCTTCCTCCCTCGGTTGCGAACCAAATTATCATCCCAAAACCCTAGGTAGCTACCTGCACACACTCTCACACCACAATCATCACGCACTCCTCTGTATATTCCATTTTTGTGCTCGAATATTTTATTAATTTAATCATATATATATATATATACACACACAGAGAGACACACGTTTGTTGATACAGACAAAAAGACGTATAGAAAATCAAAGAGATTTGGGATGATCGACCTCCATTAAAATTCAATCAATCAATTATCGAGCTAAGTGTAAGTAATGCAATGGCGTCGTCCAAATTAATGGCTTCTTCTTCTTCAACATCGCGCGATTCGGATCTCAAGCGCAAAATTTCGGCTTGCTCTTCCACTTCCGCCGCGGAGTTTCTCAGAATTGATAGCAATGCGGCGATGGTGGTGAACGGGTTCTCGGATCCGGGTCAGGGTCATCCGCCGGTTGTTGGGATCACGCTTCTAGATGCGTCCGGAGCTGTGACTCCGATCAGCGAAGCCGAATTGGATGATGATTCACCGAGGGCAGTTAGAAAAACTGTGGATGATGTTTGGAAGGAGATTATAGCAGGGAAGAAGAAGAAGAATAGGCAGAATCCTAAAGAGGAGATGATGACGTTGGAAGATTTTTTGGTGAAGGCCGGTGCGGTGGAGGTGGAGGAGGAGGAGGCGGCGGCATCGGCATCGGCGGCAACGGGGGGAATTGTGGAGGTGAAGGATGAGGGATCGAGCGGCGGTGGAATTTATTCGTATGAGAGTAATTCTGGTGTGAGTTTGGATATTGGAGGTTTGGGTAGAGTGAGAGGGAAGAGGAGTTTGAGTTTGTTGGAACCGATGGATAAGGCGGCGCAGCAAAGGCAGAGGAGGATGATTAAGAACAGGGAATCTGCCGCTAGGTCTAGAGAGCGTAAGCAGGTCGGAATTTGTAGTTATATTGTTATTCTTTTTTTTTTTTTTTGTGGGTGTGTGAATGCTTGTTTTGTTCTTTCGATGATGTGTTCGTTTCGTGATTGTTATTAGGCGTATCAAGTGGAATTGGAGTCGATGTCGTTGAGACTAGAGGAAGAAAACGAGCAACTGTTAAAAGAGAAGGTAATTGATCTCAATCGGATTTGGTTTGTTTGTGTGCTCTTTCATGAGATGTCGTCTTGAATTACTCCATGAATAACTCACGATAATACAATTTTCGAGTGATGAGTTTTTTAGGTGTACGAGTGTCATTTGGCTGTTTTTATTTTTTGATCAATTGTTATAGATATGATGATTCTAGGTTTCTGTATAAGCATGTCGGAGCTCAATCCAACTTCAGCGAAGCTTTTTCCTTATATATGTGCACAGTCGGTTATTGGTGGTGCATACTTGTGTATTATAATGGGAGAATGAATAGTGTGTTGTTTGTGTGTCTAGAAATGTCTGAATTGTATGTTTTGAATACTTTTGATTGTTTGGTAGTTCTACGGCACGTCGGCACGTGTATTTCTTTTCGGATGCTATCGAATTTCCTAAGCGGCAATTTCTTTTGGCCATTCACATTTCCCGATCTTTTTGACCAATTATCAATACAGTTGGCCGCCAGTATCTTTATGTGATTGGTTATGCCACAATACTGACCAGTTTAGGAATGGTTTCTCTATTTCAAAATTGAGTCCGGTGTAGTCTTCGTGCATTTGTATTCGTGCCTCGTTTCGGTAATTCGATAATCGTAACGTCATGTACATGTTTATTCGTAGTACTGGAGTATATGCTTCAATCTTTGCCTTTAAAGTATTCTTGTGAGGAAGTTCAACTGTTTATTTCATTAGCTGAATCAAAGATCGCTCTCGTGATATAAACTTGCTATAAGTACTTGATAATAACGAAAGGTTATGAGGAGTATCACTTATTGATTAATATGCTTTCTTTGGATATGTTTACTGTGTTGGATAATTTACTATTTATTTTTCGTTTTTAGTTTCCTTTTGACCAGTGTTTGTATCCATCCTTGAAGCCTTTTTTTATTTTTATTTTTCTGAAAATCATTCTCTACTAATTAATCAGTTTACATCTTGAAAAAGTGCCAATAACTAAAATTTTGCCTTCGCTAATATCCGATTAAGAGACGAAATATAGACGAGGGTCAGGAGGTTGTGTCTTTTCTTGCTGTTTCACCCCCCATATCTGGATTTCACAAATCTAAAGAAATTACATTTAAAAAGGTAAATAAAGAAAAAAAGAAAGAACCAAAAGGTATTGTCAAGATTACTCTTGAGTTCCACTGGTATATGCTTATGGTTTAAATTTTACGGGTTTTAAAAGATATATATTCTGATTCCTTTCTACATTTGTATTTCATGAGGAACTCAAGTATTATCTATTAATTTGACTGAAGAAACGAACTTGTTTTATCAACTTCTTTTTATATCCACACTTCATTTTCCTCTGGTCACTCATAAATGTAGAAGCACTAATCAATCACATTCACACCGTCGCAATGTGACCGCATTATGCTGCTGCCTGCAGTATTCGATCTTTTTTTGAACTTCATTTCGATTGATGGCTAAACATGTAAAAGAAACCATGCCGTTTCTTTATTTATCTAAACTTTCTTCATCCACTGTTAAATGTATATCATTTTCCGTTTCCTTTCATCACACTGTTTGCACTACTATGGTTGTCGATATTTAGGGCTGCCCTGTTCTTTGCAATGTACTCTAGTCCAGCCCATTTGGTATTCATTTGTGGATATTCCGATTCCTACAATTCATCCCTTTTCGATTAATTCGATCTTGATTTATGGCTAAAAAACTAAAAGCATATACCCCTCGTGTTTGTTAACCTGAACATAAGCACTGTAGCTATTTTCGTGCATTAAGCTAATTATTGTTCTAATACAAGATATTGATGTGTCTCACTTGTAATTCTTTGGTTTCCGTAAATACTCTTTTCTCATAAATACGGGTTTTTGTTCCATTTTTACAGGCCATGCGGACAAAGAAGAGGCTTGAACAGGTATTTACTTTCATCTGTAAGCTTTTCGTTTGTTGCATTACGAGTGCTACTAAAAAATTCCACGTTCCGTTAGGACACAGTCTTGTGCAAAAAATTCCTTACACACACAAAAAAACCCTAGTATAAACGAGTTAAAATTAATGAAAATGGGCTCGAGTGCATTACTGAAGCTGTACATGTTTTTCGTGTAGCTTATGGAGAATGTGATTCCTGTAGTGGAGAGACGAAGGCCACCACCATGCCTGCGTAAAATTCGTTCGATGCAGTGGTAAAATCCTAAAATAGACGATGACTCGAAATTGCCCTCTTTCTGACATAGGACAAAGGTAAGATTATCTAGCAAATGTTAAACTGTATTAGTTCTCGAATTTGAGTGATAAATAGCAATAGAAATAGGATCGGAATCGAATATTGTTTGATGAAAATTAGTCGGAGATACGAGAAACTCCATCGAATTACAGCTTATAAATCCCCATTGTTAATTATATTCGGAGAGGGATGCATGCTGCTCTGCCAGCTATATATTCTCATGTATACTTGTTAATGCTTGTATCTGTAAACAAATTCAATATTTTGTTGTTTATTTAAATTTTAATTTTATCAATTAAAGCTGCATTGGAAAAAAGAAATTAAAAAAAAAAAAAAAAAGACAATAGAAAAAAGTCAGAGAGGAAACAGACAAGCCATAAAATCACATTACATAAAAATTTCTATTGCACATTCCAAAGTACAAAACGAACTTCTCTTATTTACATTCATTAGTGTTGTTTTTATTCACTAAACCTGTTTTGATTAGATTAAATATTGTTTTGTCCACTTGTATTAGCTTCCTCAAAGTACGTACACTTCTGCTTTTATTTTTCGGTAAATTACAACAGCCCCTGATGTATACTCTATTAACGAAAAAACCCCTGAATTTTTAATAATTACATCCGTCCCCGGCAATTTGTAGATTTCTTACATTAACACCCTTTTGTAGAGGGGTTGATGTAAGAAATTTACAAACTGTAGGAGCTGGATGTAATTTCTCAAAATTGAGGGTTTTTTTGTAAATAGACTTCACCCAGGGAGGTGGTTGTAATTTATAATTTATTCTTTTGAACTCAGCAGAAAATGTAGAATTACTTTCACAAGGGTCAGTAGAATTGGACATTTCTAAGTCATCCCCTCAAGACTGTAAATTTTTTTGTCGTATAGCATTTGTCTTCTTACATGGTTTTTCACTTTTTCTTACCCCTTTGCAGTTTATATTGCTTTTAGGCCAGTATTTTTATTATTATTATTATATATTCTATTGATGAAGATTTCAATTTAATTATCTAGATTTTACGATTTTATTCAACCTTGCAGAAATTACAATATCTTTAATTTTGTCAAAAATAAGAATAATGAGTTTGTTAATTTATATGAAATGCACTTCTGATTTGAAAATATCGTATTACATATAATATAAAATATTAACTGTAATACGAAGAAGAATGAATGAATAATGATTAAGCTTTTCTCTTAATTAATCTACTATTTAGTTTAATTTAATTTCCTAGGAGCCCTTCTTTTAAGATTTTAATTATTCCAATAAGAATCTAAAAATTCTGTGAGAATCTGCAACCTTATAGTAATATCATAACATAAAGTGTAAATATCAAATAATTTAAAAACCTCAAAAGAATGTGATAAAGTCATAAAGAGGCTCAAAATTGACCCACCACCACAAAAAAATACATATAATTACATAATCACAAATTATTATAATACTTTACTTATAATATTTACATACTGCAGGAGGTTGATAATCAGAGCACGAATCATTTTAGAATCATAATGCCCATCATTAATTATCAAATCCCACTAAACAAAACACACATGTCTTTGTGTTCTTTTGTTTATTTTAGTTCTTTAATTCACATTATTATATTTTCAAGAATTACAATTCACAGACAAAATCATTCGACTTTTCAATGTCAAAAAAATAAAAATAAATAAATAATTGGTCATAAATAAATACACACTCCCCCTCTCCCACTGTCAACAACAAAAGCCTTCAAACTCTTCCTCTGAAAAGCCAAACACACACACGCACACGCACGTATTTCTGTGTGAATTTTCTCTGTTCTACAAATTTCAAGTGCTGTGCTCTATAATCTTTATATATATAGTCCCTCTAAATATATCCCAAATTATTAATTTTCTTTTCTTTCTTCACTAAGAAATTAAGGAAAAAAAAATGGGATATTTATTTAATCCATCCACGTTTTTCATTTTCTTTTCTCTTGTCACTCTGCAATTACTTCAATTCTGTCACTCTGCAACAATGGTTGTTGATGGAGTTTCAGTATGGAATCATCCCAAGGTTCAAATTGGAGACTCTGTCAGTAAGTTTTTTTTTTTTAATTCTAAATATTATGATAATTAATAATTAGGACTGCATTTAATTTAATCTTTTTAAATTAGTTTTCCAGCACAAAAATCAGTACAGGCTGTACATATTCCGGAACGAGAAAGCATTCAATGTCTGCAACTTCACACAAGCTACACTCTTGACAAAGCCCAACTCCACTTCTTACACTGTAAGTTACATTTACACCTTCTTGTGTGTGCTAATTTACAAAAACCCTGTACTTAGGCTAAATAATGAAATGCACCCCACCTATCCATAATAACCAAAATCCCCGATTCCTTGGAATAAAATAAAATCCGTGAAAAGTCACACCGTAAGGGGTTGGTGCAAGACGGAAACAAACTTCAGGGGGTTTTTGGTAATTACAAATAGGTGGGGGGTGTTTTTCGTTATTTATCCTAAGTTCAGGGGGTTTTTGTAATTTACCCTTAATTTTTTGGTTCTAATGGCAATTTCGTGATTAAAATGAATTAAGTGGCGCATTTCGCGGGCCGGCTTCTTCTACTTCGCATTCAACAATGGCTCAAACGAAGCATGCCTGCATGGCCAAAAGCTCGCCGTGGAGGTGGTCCCTTTAGCGCCGCCTCCGCACCAGTCCTCCGCGTCCCCTGAGCTGCCGCCGTCAGTAGAAGCAACGCCGCCCACCTCCGGTGGGACGGTGGCGTCTTCACCGGCGTTCCCATGGCCGTTTCAGCCAAGAGAAAGCGGTTGGCCGAGCCTTGCACCGGGTTTAAGCCCTGTGTCGCCTGATAAAGAAGGAATACCGTTTATCAACAGCAACCCTGCGGTTCCTCTCCCTACGGGTGAAGTTGATTCTGCTACAATTCGTCCTTTGCCTACATCTGGTTATCAACACTCTCGAGAGGTAATATATTTTTTACTTTTTTTTTTTTAATTCTTTTATTCTTGAAATATTAAAAATTTGCATTTTTTTTCTCTCAAGTCCTAGTTAATGGAAGTGTATGATAATTTCACATAAGGAATCTCCACTTGCTTCCACAAAATTAAATTTAAAATAATTAATTATTAGGAAAATATAGTGAAAATTACAGTTTCATCTCTAAAGTTTGCACCGGTTTCACATTTGGTCCCATATGTTCACAAAAAAACACATTTGGCCCCTCGTATTTTAATATTTAACACTTTTGGTCATTTCCGTCAATCTGCCATTAGTCCGTCAGTTATGGAAGTGATGAGCACATCCTTCATTTCATTAAAAGTGTTGAAATTTTGAAACATGAGGGACTAAATATGTTTTTTTGTGAAAATCGGGGACCAAATGTGAAATAGATGCAAACTTCAGGGGTAAAAATTGTGTTTTTCCGGAAATATAGGGCAATAGATATATAATTTGTCAGCTTACTGTATGCATTACAAGTTTCTGCACTAACTGAAGTAAAACTATGGAGGATCACAAGATCACATAAAAGATGGCGCAGTATTTAATGCCATGCATGTGATTTCTTTCACAAGTCACTAAAACAGTCACGTGACATTTACATTTAGGCACAAGAGCTCTCATAAGTAATTTATGAAACAAAATAAGTGCCTTCTTTGATTACATTTAATTTATACATTTATTGAGCATATAATTATTTTATTTTCTTTTATTTTTATTGGGATTGAATTATTTGTAATGTGGCAATGCAGGTGGTGGGGTTTTGTGGATTTCATAGAGGATTGATTAGTGTAATCTTGCTATTAATTATGATCTAGAGAGAGAGAGTAGAGAGAGAGAGAGAGAGAGAGAGAGTTATGGATTTAAAGTGGGTTTGATGATGATGATCATACCATATGTAATATTGCTTTCTTTGGCCCTACTTTGAAATCATTACCACTTTGTTCTTTACTCTTTACTTTTGTCAAAGTCGATCCTTTTTTTTTTCTTTTTTTTTTTTTTTTTTTTTAATTTGATTCTTTCCGCTTCAACTTTTTCTCCTGCGGTTTTTACAATCTAATCATTGTTATTTTCAAGAAATGTTAAAATGATCTCATTTGTTTAACACGGTTAAGAAATTGTCCTAAAATGAACTTTGTGATTAGACTCGACTCAAACTCATTCACCCCGGTTACCCGCTTTAACTTAAGCTCAAATCAGCTTAGACCAAAATCAGATCTTGACCGTTTAAATTAAATGTTCATCTTTCAACCCTAATTCAACTTCGATCACAATGTTTATGTCCTCTTAACGGAGTCCTCGTCGTACTCGGTTGACTTTGACACAGGAGCGTATTCTACGCTTTGGACTGTTGTTGGTTTGGCTATAAATTCAGCTTTCAGAGGAGCAAAGGGGACATATATTCTTACACATTCACCGTTCTTCTAAGTTTAATCTTCTTTTTGTGTGAGTGATTAAACCCTATTGTGAGAGGAACTAAAAGTTGAATTGAGTGATGGAGAGTTTGCCTTTACCAATTAACTGACCGTGAGTTGGTGAGTCAAATCAATTGTGAGGATTGAGTAGGTCTAGATTTGGGTTGTAATCGATTGAAACCTAAGTTGGTGCTTGTTTCTGAGTGGAGTTGACACCATCTTGGATTTATGAACAAAAGGATTGGAACCGAACCGAAACTATTGGAAAAATCATTCTTATTTATTGGAGTCACTCTGATGATATATTTTCTTGACAATTGTATGCAGTGTATTATACTATGTAGCATCTACTAGAATTGTTTAATGGATTTTCTATTAGAATATAAAAATAATAAATAATAATAAAAAATTATTTAATGAAATTTGATGATTTTGGCCCAAGACAGGTTAAATTTAGGCCTGCAATTTGATGCTTTGAGCCCAATGGAGTTGAATTTGGGCCTACAAATTGAAGTTTTAGGCCCAGTGTACAATCTTGTAGCCCTCGTACGAATTTGGGTAATTTCAGAATTTAATCAACTCTATTGGAATTTGGTTAATTCAGAATCTTTATTTCATAACTGTAGTATATAGAAGAATAACATTTCTAAGAGGCTCCCTATATTGCCAGAGCTCAGGTTGCTGCTGCCAAGTGCAACTTTCACATAATGACTAATCTGCCCTTGATTACCACAAGTAATTCCAAGAAAACTTAATTCTACCTCTCCCGGCATACATCATTCTTGAACTATATAATTAAGTAATTATTACAAAAAGACTTGGTCAAAGTCAACAAAAGACAAGGTCACTTCAGTATGACTCAAATAAAATGTGAACAAGATCTCAAGAAAGAAGCCCTCATGCACATAGCAAATCTTAATTGACAGAGACTTGATAGCAACTCTACTGACCGATAATTCGTCGTCCGAAAAAAAATCGAAAATCCGTCTCTAAAAATCGACATTAACAAATGGTATAAGAAGATCAATTAATCCCTCATAGGAATGTTGTTGGCTTACTTTACTCTTCTTTCGGTACATTGCGAAGCAATCTTAAACCGAATATAGATCAACGTTACGCAACCGAATTTATCGAGAAAAAAAGTTCATTGCACAAAAACACAAGGATATAAACCTTAACAAAATCAAATTTACACAATGACATATTCTCTAATAAATACAAGAATCGGAATCTTTCTTTCCAATCCGACGAAAAAACCAAATTCATCGAACATGAACAACTATTTACTCGCGTCAATCGAAGCAAGACCTTCGTTCCTACTCCTCACAATCCTATGGAACACTTCTCGAACCCCTCTCTCCAAAGGATCCAACCCATCCTTTATACCTTGGTACACACTCTCAATCTCGTCGACTCTCTCTCTAATTTCTCTCTCCTTCTCCTCCGTCAACGGGAACCTAACCGAGTCCGCCAAGTCATTCATCATACACCTAGCGCAAATCTCAACGTCCCGTATGTCCTTCAACAACCCGCACGCGTTCCTCCTCTCCCGTTTCTTCGACTCCTCCAATATCCTATCGTGGAGCGAGAGAATCGGTGGGGCCCACAGAAGTTGCCTCGAGACATTGAAATGCGTCTGGAGGCCGCGATCCTGGCAAGGGATCGCGGCCACCAGGGCCCACATTACGAACAATAGCACGTAGTTCATCGTGAAAACGGCCAAATTGAGCCCGTTCGTCGACGTGATCTCGTTAGCCCTCGGCGCGACTAAATTGTTCCCGATTGCTAGCAACTGCCTGGCGGCCGACCACGACCGGGACACGCTCCACGAGAGCGACCGCAAGTGGACGAACGATTTATGCTCGGCGGAGGCGGCGTGCGCGCTGTGTCGCCCGAAGGAGCGGTTTCTGTGCGGCATTGTCGTCGTGGTGGTGGTGGTGCCGCCGCCGGATTCCTTCTCGTCGAGCATCGAGATCAGCAGTTCAATTAGGGCTTTCTTCGCGCGGCGAAATTGCCCCTGGTTGATGATCTTACTCCGGCTGCCGCCGCCGTCGAACGAGCTCACGACGATCTCGAGGTGCTTCTGCCACTGCCGGATTTGCTCAACGCCGTCGCGTATGGCGTTGCAGACGTCCAGGGCCTTGACGCTCCGATCGAAGAAATCGGAGATGTATTTGTCCATTGGGGGTTTGTTCAAGGTGGCTCGATTGTTGGAGACGATTAATCGGAACTCCTCCTGGCAGGAGAGGAACGCTTCTAGAAGCTTCTGGAGCCACGGGATCGAGAGGAGCTCGTCGGAATCCGCCGCAGCCAGGTCGTGGAAGCGATCGGAGACTTTTCTCTGGAAGGAATCCAATTCGATTTCCTGGGGGGTGGGTTCGTGTGCGGTGGGGTCCATCGTATGGACCTGGTCGCGGCGTCGGCTCGAAATCGAGAATCTTAAGCTCGATGGCGAAGACGACGACGTCGTTTCTGGAAAATCTGTTGTCGGCATATTTCTCATGAATTTAAAAAAAAAAATTAAATTAAATTGAATTATCAGTTGAAATTAAAAAGGAAAAAAGAAAAAAGAAAAAGAGAGAATGAATTGAAGGAAGAAGAAGAGAAGAAGGGATTATATTGGGATGATTTTGACCGCGTAATCGCGTATTATATGGTTCGTTGTGAGAAGGGGGCAGATTTTTTCACACACTTGGAGAAAAGCCTCATTATCACATATATTAACACACTATGTTATTAATTAATGTAATTAGGGGTAATTAGTAATTAGTATTAGTATTTGATTACGAAAATGAACTATACACGGTAAAAGAACTAGAGAAGCAAACTTGTGTAAATTACGGCCACCACTCCTTACAGAATGTCAAATTACGAAACAACCCCTTATGTTTGGATAATTACAATCATCATCTTAACTGTGAATCTTCTTATATGTTCATCATTGGGGTGTCAGATTCAGTGGAATATTCTAGATTATGTGGAATATTCTTCAGTTTGTACCGGTTTTTATCCAATTCGAGCTCCACTTTTGAAACAATATGATCGTAAGATGTGTCTCTTGGCTTGTAAATGTCAGATTATGGTGCATTAGAAATTGTATTTTTAAACAAAATGAGTACAAACTAGAGAACGTTCCATGAAATCTTAAAGATTCAGCTTAATTTGACACGATAAGGGTGTATATGGAATAAAAGTTATAGTTGAAGGAATGATTGTAATTACTCAAACGGAAGAGTTTTTTTTTCGGAATTTGACATTAGCGCAAAGGATGATCGTAATTTACCCTATTTTATTCGAATTTTCAATTCATTACTAGTTGAATGTACTTTTTTGGATTTTACCCTTACTATTTACAATGTTTTTAAACATTTTAGTATCGTCTAATTTTAGTGGCAATGTATATTTTCATAATATTCATTCACATTTAATGATTTTCTTTTATATGGTTATAAAAACTTTAAAACTAAATATACTTTGCAACGCATAAATTTTATCAAGCTAGTATTTTTCAAGCAACTATATTATTTTCACTAAATTATTGTAAGTCAACAATTGAACAAAAAACACTTACCCTCTTCCCTCAACTACACTTTTATTGTACTCATACCGAAAAATTCCTCTCCCGAAAAAATTACCGATTTTAGACCTATTAGTCTCTGTAATGTGGTATATAAAATCGGCTCTAAAATGATCGTGAATCGGCTTACTAGTATCCTCTCGAGCATTGTATCTCCGACTCAATCAGCGTTTGTACCCAATCGCCTTATCACAGATAATGTCTTGGTCGCCTATGAAGTAAACCATTATATTAGAACAAATTCTAGAAATATGAATAATCATATGGCCATTAAACTTGACATTAGCAAGGCTTACGATCGAATCGAATGGGTTTTCTTAAGAAAAGTGCTTGTTTGTTTTGGCTTTCCTTTGCCTTTTATTGATCTCATTATACTTTGTGTCTCCTCTGTCTCTTACTCTTTTCTATTCAATGGTTCACAGTTCGGGAATATTACCCCAACCCGGGGCCTTAGACAGGGAGACCCTCTATCTCCATACTTGTTCATTCTTTGTGTAGAGATTCTCATTGCAATGGTCAACAAAGCAGTTGAAATGGAGGAATTGGAGGGAGTTCGGATTGCTCCTCTTGCGCCAGTCATCTCGAACTTGTGCTTCGCCGACGATACTATTCTCTTTTGCCGGGCAGATGTTCGAAATGCCAACACGCTCAGGGTGATACTAACCAAGTATGCGCGTATATCGGGCCAAGAGATCAACTTTGAGAAATCCACACTGTGTTTCAGCCCCTCCACTCCGCCAGAAGTCAAACAGTCCATCCATGGGCTGCTTGGGATTCAGGTGGTTGATCGTCACGAAAAGTACATTGGCATGCCTGCATCTCTCGGTAAGTCCAGAAAAGAAATTTTCCGGTTCCTACGTGACAGGATTTGGGCGAGAATTAAAGGGTGGGGCGAGAAACACCTCTCTAAAGCGGGTAAAGAGGTGATGATTAAGTCAGTCTTACAGGCGATCCCTTCGTATATGATGTCTTGCTTTGCTCTGCCTACGGGACTTGTGCGGGAGCTTGAGGCGACGATTAGGCAGTTTTGGTGGGGTGGCGGCCCGAACAGGAAGTTGGCTTGGATGTCTTGGGAACGCCTATGTAAACCCAAGTTTTTGGGCGGAATGGGGTTTCGGAACCTTCGTCTCTTCAACCACTCACTACTTGCTAAACAAATGTGGCGGATATTTACGCAGCCGGACCTTCTTCTCTCTCGTATTTTAAAGGCTCGATACTTTCCTCATGATGATGCCATGACAGCAGCGGTTGGTTATCGGCCGTCGGCAACCTGGCGGAGTTTCGTTAGTGCGCGATATCTCCTTCGACTGGGCGCGAGGAAACGGATCGGAAATGGATTGGCAACATGCATCTGGGGCGAACCTTGGCTAAAAGACGACGGGAATTTCAAAATCTTCACTCGCCATCCTATTTCATCAAGCTTCCCTAACCGGGTAGCGGATTTGATTGACCCGGTCACTAAAGGCTGGAATTTGAATCTTATCGATAATGTTTTTTGGCCTATTGACAGATGCAGGATTCTTAAAATCCCCGTGGGAACCTCTGTCGCGCAAGATGTGTGGGTGTGGCACCTTTCTAAGTCTGGAAAATACACAGTTCGCTCGTGCTACAACAGAGCCATTCAACATGCAGAGGATTCAACCAACCCCCGGAAGACACCAACTCACTCCACCAGCGGAGTCGTGCAACACAAGTGGGACCTCATATGGTCCTTGAATATCCCCCAAAAAGTCCGACACTTCGTTTGGCGGGCTACATCTGACATCCTCCCCACCGGGGCTGCGCTTTTCCGGAGGAAGATTGCGCATGAGGCTCGCTGCTTCCGGTACGGCCACGCGAATGAGTCATTCATTCACATGGTACAGGTCTGTTGTGGCATGGAAAAAGTTTGGCAGGCAGCTCCATTCCTCTTGGAAACCCTCGCAACGACCACCTCCGCGTGGAACTGGTTCGAGTATCTTTCTCGGAGTCTGCCGGATTATTATTTTCGACTTGCTATTATTATCACATGTAAGGTTTGGAGTAATCGGAATTGCGTCTTGCATGGGGATACCGCTACACATCAGGAAAATATAATAGAATGGGGGACGAGGTATCTCGACGAGTTTTTGTCCCATCAAGTGCCGAAGTCCTCTTTGAACCGAGCGCAATACTCGTCCGCATGGTCCCCTCCCCCGGTTGGCTATCTAAAGTTGAATGTTGATGCTGCTCTTCCCGCCGGACAGCCCCGTTACACGGTCTCGATGGTTGCGCGGAACGAGGAAGGGGTTTGCATTTGGTGGGAAGTAAGGACCTACCCTGGCTCGCTTATGGCGGAGGAATGCGAGGCACATGCAGCCTTGTTCGCACTCCAATGTGCTCAGCGCAAGGGATGGCAGTCGATCATATTGGAGGGAGATTGCTTGGGCGTTATTGAAGCTCTTCGAGCTGGCACTGATCTGAGTTCGTCCATTGGAGTGTTCGTCGACGAGTGTCTGTCTTTGGTTCCATTTTTCTCCTCTTGCTCTTTTTCGTTTGTTAAACGGTCTGGTAACAAATTGGCTCATTGTCTAGCCACTAGCTTTCCATTTTCTTGTAATGAAGGTGACACCCTTCCAACTGATTTGGCTTCTTATGCCTGAATGAATTTCTCTTTTCTCAAAAAAAAAAAAACTAGTTAAATTGCATTATGTTTTTATATTTTATAAAGTTTATAAACGAGTTTAAACTTTAAAGGGTCAAGTGCATTTTGCCCCTTGAACTTAGCACGTTTTTGCACTTTGCCCCCAAAAAAAGAAAAATTACATGGACATACCTGAACTTGCTAAATTGTTCCACCGATGCTGAAACTGTCTATTTTTTACCAAATTGCACACGTCAAAATGGAGGGGCAATTTTGGTAAATCAAAAAAAAAAAGACATTTATGAGTTGATCCAATGTCTGTGTCATGTTCTTCTAAGAAACATCAGCAACAAAAACGCTACCAGAATCGCACCATCCAGCCAATATATCTCTATTTGAACACTGCATTTCAGAAACGACACTTGTGAATTACAAATATATATAATTTCCGAGATACATACACTTTCCATGAACATTGAACATCAATAAATATATATATAAAAGAAAAACCTTGCTAAATCCGAGCCAGTTTGAATCCCCTCTAAACGAAAAGGCCTTCTCGTTTTCTCTCCAGCGTCCACAGAGAACCTACAAAGTATTCAAGCTCGAGCTTTCATCGTTAAAAAATAATTCATCGCGGTGTTCTTTGTAGATGATTAATACACACACACACACACACACACTAAATCAATGATGATTAAAAGAATATACCTCATAATCAACTCCTTGTACGTAGATATAATTATGATCAACGGATGAAAAATTAAGTCCAGTTATCTGTGATATGCGATATACAAGTAATGTTATTAAGAAAGCAGAAAAATAGAATCGAATAATTTATTGAAGAAAATCGTAACCGTAATCAAATTATAGAGACACTAGATAAATGTATCATTATGCGAAAAAATTTGATCTAAGCAACTAACTGACCTCATACTTTGAGCAATTCAGCCATCTAGATACTGCGGACCACCTGTACTCAAATTTACAAACATTACGAGTTAGAAGAAAATTGGTTCCAACAAAACAGTATTATTTCGAAAAATCATAGAAACCCACAAAAGCAAATTATATAAGTACGTCATTAGAAGAAGCCCACTAACTTGCGGGGATCGTAGATAGTCACGGTGCGGTCCCCACCACCGGCAGCAATATAACCGGATGAAGATTCATTGACTGCATATAACACATCTCCCACGGACCCCATTATTCTATGCACACAACCCCCGTTTTCTTTCACCCGTAAGTCCCATATACTTAGCTACACCAAATATATATAATGAAATCAATAAATAAATCATTATAATAAAATTAAAAAAATATATATATATATATATATATATATATATATATATATATATATATATATATATATATATATATATATATATATATATATATATATATATATATATATATATATATATATATATATATATATATATATATTATTTTAGTAGTTACTGAATAATTTAATTCTTGGTAAAACAATAAAAATATCATTTATGTCGAGAACCTGGGAACCTTCGGTGATGGCCAACGTTGAACTTGCACTCTCGCTAAACTTGTCCATGAAAATTAGTGACGTTGGATACCACAATCTGAAACACGGCTTATTCAATAAGTTACAACTTAAACACACACACACACACACACAAACGAATCTCAACATGAAATTGATTTATTTGATTCATGCAATACCACCTGACCACTGTAATAATAGACCAATTTCATTTATGCTAATTCAAAGAAAGTAAAATAAAATAAAATAAAGTGGGTAAATACTCACGTGCGTAAAGTGCGCAGATGAATATCTTGGTCGTAAATATCGATGGTCTTACAGAAGCTACGTGCTACAGCTGCCTGAATCAGACACAGGTAACCGGTTCAATAGATACTTCAAACACAACTACTTTTACAAATACTGAAGATACGAGAAGAACCCAAAAGTCAAAAGTCAGACGGGCAATTACGGTCAAAAG